CTGTGCCAGGTCAAGTTTCACAAAAATGTGCCCCCCCTTGAGGGAGGCCAGGATATGGCTTACAACACGGACTGGGTAAGCATGCTGTTGCAATGCCTTATTCAGTGTACACTTGTAGTCTGCACATATACGTATTTCCCCATTAGCCTTTAGAGGCGTTACTATGGGAGTTTCCTATGGACTGGAATCCACAGATTCTAAAATGCCCTGCTGGAGCAATTTGTCCAGTTCAGCATCTATCTTACCTTTGAGGGCAAAAGATACCCTCCTAGGCTTAACCCTGATGGTGTGATGGTTGGGTTTAACTGTAGCGAAATGGGAGGCCCCTTGTAGGATCCTATCTCTGACTTAAACACATCTGCAAACTCCTTGCAAACCTCTGCAAGGCTCAACATTTGCAAATGGTGCAGCCCAGTTACCTGGATTCCCAGAGCCTCGAACTAATCGAGTCCAATGAGACTCGTGCATTCACCCCCAACAACCATCACATCTAGGGGACCTTCAAAATCCTTATGCTGTATTCTAAGGGTGGCCTCCCCCTTAACATACACCATAGAATTCTGAAAATCTGTAAGTATTAGATTTGATGGCCTGAGTTTAACTTGAAGGACACTGCTGCTGCATATCCTTTTGAATGTGTTAATGGAAATAATGGAAAGAGTGGACCCAGCGTCCAACTCCATTGCTAAGGGAACCCCTTGCAACCTTACATTAATGGAAAGTTTCTTCTTAAGGGACTTGTGTGTCCCTGTTCTCAAAACACTCTTGCGCGATGTGCAGAACCCCACCCTATGCTGGCTGGAGACCCTGGTACCTTTCAGATGCAATTCTTCACAAGGTTGGACCTTCTGGCGACCCAAACAGATGGATGCGATGTGACCTTGCTTGCCACACGCTCTGCAAATGGTGGAGCGAAACCTGCAGTCAGCTCGCTTGTGGTGTCCTCTGCACCCGAAGCATTGAAGCAATGCTGGGGCCTTGTCATGATGTTCCTTCTGCCTCTTTCCAGCTGGCTGGTGAAGCCTATCCACCTCTTCTTCAGGATCCCCTTCTGATTCTTCTCCAGGGTCCTCTTGATGGACTGTAATTGTTTCTGGAGGGTTCCTGGTGGGTCATAAAGCCTTCACAGCCCCGCCTGCTGCTTCCTCAGCTGTCACCTCTCGTAGGGCATCTTGGAAAGAGATATCTTCTTTTGCAAAAATCTTCTGCTGTAAGTCTCTGCTCCTCAAACCGCATATGAAGCGATCTCGCAGCCTCTCTTCCAGATCCTTGAACTCACAAGGTCTGGCTGCTTGCCTTAAGGCCGCAATAAAGTCCGCAGCAGATTCACCCGGCCTCTCGTCTCTCTGCTCGAATGCGTGCCTCCAAGCAATGACGGATAACTTCGGCTGGAAGTGTTCCTTCAGCACTTTCTTTAAGTCAGCATATGTTACTGACTCCAGAGACTTAGGGGCCACCAGGTTCTCTGCGATGTCAAAAGCTTCTTGTCCACAGGCACAAAAAAGAGTTGCTGCCTTCAGGCTGTTTTCTCTTATCTGATTTACTCTGAAGTAATTCTCAACCCGTGCTGCGTATGAAGTCCATCTCTCAGGCTGTGAGACATCAAAATCAGATAAGCGGCCAATCTTCGCCATCCTCTAGTTTACAACCTTCACCACTCGCTCCTCTGCAAGCTTTTATTGGGGGAAAGGGTCTTTTAGCCGAGCTCACCCTCCAGCGACGCTATACTGGCAGGCTGGGATGCTGATTCAGATGCCATCTTCCCCTCTTCAGGACTTCCTGGGTGAGTCCTTAAAACTTTTTTTTCTTCAGCTTGCAAAGGATCCCACCTTCGTCGCCAGTGTTGTATTTGCCGTTTGCATGCGAATGATGAAGACACATGGTGATAACTAATCAATGCTTTATTCTCTTACTCCAACTCCCAGCAAAAAGCAAAAGGCACGCAGGCCTTTTATAGGGCTTGAAACCCGGACAGAGTGAACCAATGTCTTCTTTCTTCGCGCCTTGCGCACGCGCACAAGGCTGGCGCCGCTCTGTCTGGTCCCGGGCAGCTTTTAAAATGCCCAGGACCATTTGCAACAATTCAGGCCCAGGACACAAGAGTCGCTAAATGAACTGCTGTAAATCAAGGACTACCTGTTTCATGCAATTTTCCTTCATTCCCAGACATGTGATAGAGATGTTTCCCACCTCATATTTCAGTACTAAATCTTAGCATTAGTAACGTCAGGAAGCCTCCATGTGGAAGCACAGTATTTCTTAGGAGGAAAATGCCATTATCATCACCACCACCACCATGATCGCCACATCTCCTCATAGTTTTCTTTTTCATCAAGGAACCACAAGCGAAGTGATACAGACCACAACTAGGATCAGAATTTCCATTGCTAAGCAAGCCAGTTCTTAAGTGAGTCATACCCAATTTTATAATCATTTTGCCATGGTTGTTAAGTGAATCACACCATCGTTAAGTGAATCCAATTTCCTCATTGACTTTGCTTGCTGGAAAGCCAGCTAGAATGTCAGAAATGGTTATCACATGACCCCAGGATGCTGCGATTGTTGTAAAGACATGCTGGTTTGCCAAGTGTGCCCAAATTTTGATATTTGTGACCATGGGGGTGCTGAGATAGTCATAAATGCGAGGACTGGTCATAAGTCACTTTCTTCAGTGCCCTTGTAACTTTGAACAGCGTATTTTAACTGTCTGAAAGTGTTTACTTTTTGTAACATTTTCTTAGATTATAGAATAAAATACAAAAATACAAAAGCAAATAGTAGGACATAGTGGAGAGGGAAAAGGGAAAGAAAAGTGAGGGGGAGAAGAGAAAAAGAAAAGGCATTGACTTCTGACTTCCTCTGTTGTAGTAGAAGGAAGCATTAACATCAAACTTCAACTTTTTACTTTTCCATAATAGTATAAACTAGCCATTTCTGTAACAACAAATCAATCTAATTCGTAAAACCCATAAATCAAAGTTTCATTCTTTTTCACCTCAAGCTCAAAATCCAGAAGCGGTCTCCATGTGGAAACAAAAGTACTTATATTCTTTTCTTTAATCCAAACAGTCAATTCAGCCATCTCTGCCAACTCCATCAGCTTCTGTAGCCATTTCATCCACAGTGGGAATCAAAATGTCCTTCCATTTTTGGGCATACAATACAGTCTTGCTGCCATCAACATATATAAGATCAAAGTTCCAAATTTTTTTCCTAAACTTTTTTCCATTAAGCCCAGAAGAAAAGTTTCTGGTTTCATCTTTATCTTTACTGTATTAGGATATGAATCCTAAAAACGATTATTTTTCAAGCACGATTGTCATCATACTTCTCTTTAGCAAGATTTATTGAGCTACACAAGATGGAGTGTGAGTTCCAGCAGCTGAACTATTTTCTATTTAGGACACATAAATCCCCTGTCAAAAGCCTTTTAATTTTCTTTCCAAGAGTCTTCTTATGAACCAGTAGGGAAGGAGCTTTCTCCATTGATGACAGAGGAGCTAGGGGCTGGTTGTTTATATACAGTAATGGTTTACAAGTAGTCCTTGACTTATAACCATTAGTTTAGTGACTGCTCGAAGTTACAACAGCACGAAAAAAGGTAATTTACCAGCAGTCCTTGTACACAACTATCACAGCTCCCCATGGTCACATGATTAAAATCCAGGCATTTGGCAACTGGCATATAATTTCAATGGTTGAAGCATCGCAGGATCTTGTGATCAGCATTTGCAGCCTTCCCAGCCAGCTTCTGACAAGCAAGTCAATGGAAAGCTGGATTGGCTTAATGGCTGGCTTATTTGCTTAACAATTGCAGTGATTCACTCAACAGTTGTAGCAAAAAAAGGTCGTAAAATCGGGCAAAACTCACTTAACAACCGCTTTGCTTAGCAATGGAAATTCTGATCCCAACCACAGTCATAAGTTGAGGATTACCTGTACTGAATCTCATCGATCTAAGGAACCAATTATAACAGCCAGATTAGGTTTCAGTAGATGTACAGATGCTAGGTTGTTGCTCTAATCCCCTGCTATATTTTTATAATAACTTTATTAATTATTATATTATTACAATTAAACAGATAAAACTAATAAAACTTCAAAAAAAGGATAAAAGGAAGAAATAGAAATGATAGGAAAATAGAAAGAACATATAGGAAAGAAAGAAAAATAATAATGTGATAAAGAAGAAGAAGTATATAGAGACCTTACTTCCCCCTTTGTCACAAGTATAAAGTTTTAGCAACTTATCACCTTCTCTTAAAGCAGAGATCTTCATACTTGGCCCTTTTATGACTTGTGGATTTCAACTCCCAGAATTCCTCAGCCAGCATGCCTAGCTGAGGAATTCTGGGAGTGGAAGTCCACAAGTCATAAAAGGGCCAAGTTTGAAGACCCCTGTCTTAAAGTATAACAAACGATCTTTCCTTCCTGTATTTCCTTCTTATCTACAAACAGATCTTTAAAACTTCATCGTTCAGTCCTGGTAAGCAAAAGTCCATTAAAGGTTACCAGAAATAATAATACTGATGCTGCTCTTTGGGGGTTATCAGGAGCCCCATCCCTGGATGCTGATAGTGCAATGCTACACATATTTCCTTAGAATAGTGTTTCTCATCCATAACACCTTTAGTGAGAGTTATTAAGCAATGGGACAGCTTGCCTCCTGGAGTTGTGGGTGCTGCATCACTGGAGGTTTTCAACAAAAGAGTGGTAAACCATTTGTCCAAGATGGTATGAGAACCCCTGCCTTGAATAAGGGATTAGATAAGAAATCCTCTCTGTCCCTTCCAGCCTTATGATTCTATGATTCTGATTTTGTGCTGGCTGGGGGAATTCTGGGAGTTGAAGGCCATACATCTTAAAGGTGTTGAGGTTGAGGATCACTGCCTTAGAAAGAAATGTCATTAGGTTCAGTAGAATTTCTTCCCCTGTGACCTTAAAGCAGCTTTCACTTTAACCCTGTTTTCTCCTGTCTGTGAAATTCTGAATCAACTTACGGGGTCCCAGCAGGTATCCAGCACTGTTCAGGGTCCAACCACGTTTGTCTTTGGGCTACAGAAGGAACAGTAAGAAAGGAGATGTTAATGTAAACTTGTATTTGCCTCATCTGGATTATAATTCTGTCCCTCCTCCCCAAAAGTCAAATTAAAATTTTACAAAATGTAAGACAGTCCCTACTCCAGTGTTTCTCAAACTTGGCAAGTTTAAGCTCTGTGGTCTTCAACTCCCAGAATTCCTCAGCCATCAAAACTTGCCAAGGTTGAGAAACACTGTCCTAATCTAATACAGGAATGTAAATTATCATGAATAATAGAGTTTAATTGATGATAATTTTTTAAAAAATTAATGTTCTTAATGACTAGCTGGAAGCAAGTCCAGATGAAATATTAAGTAGCTTGAGAAACCAATAGGCTGGATATTTAAACCAAAATCCTCTCAATGATTACATCTTGCATCAATTTTTAGACTAGGAGAAAGGAGTAGAAATTTAAGAGGACAAAATCCATGATTTGGAGAACCACATTTCCCATTCAAAACAATAATTAAAAAAAGGATCTGCAAAATTTCACTTCAAAGGAATGAAAAAGAGAAACTCATCCTCAGAAGGGAGAAAAATTGCACTGTTCTGTTTCTTTTTGTTCAATACCTTCCAGGTCTGAGAAGAAAATGGAAGATACCAAGAAAAGAACTACGTTCTATCATCTGAAGCAAGAAAAATGTTGCTTTATAAGAATCTTAGTAAGACCACATCTGGAATACTGCATCCAGTTTTGGTCACCTCATTATAAAAAAAGATGCTAAGACAGGGGTCTTCAAACTTGGCCCGTTTATGACTTGTGGGCTTCAACTCCCAGAATTCCTCAGCCAGTCTGGGAGTTGAAGTCTACAAATCATAAAAGGGCCAAGTTTGAAGACCCCTGTACTAAGACTTTGGAAAGAGTGCAGAGAGGAGCAACAAAAATGATTAGAGGGCTGGAGGTTAAAACATATAAAGAACGGTTGCAGGAACTGGGTATGTCCAATCCATTAAAAAAAAAAAAAGAACTAGGAGTAACATGATAGCGGTGTTCCAATATCTGAGTGGCTGTCACAAAGAAGAGAGTGTTAACCAGTTTTCCAAAACAACTCAAGGCAAGACAAGAAGCAAAAGATTGAAAAAAATGAAGGAGAGAAGCAACCTAGAACTAAGGAGAAACGTTCCGAGAGTGAGAACAATTAACCAGTGGAACGGCTTGCCTCCAGAAGTTGTGGGTGCTCCATCACTGTAGGTTTTTATTAAGAAGAGAGTGGACAGCCACTTGTCTGAAATGGTATAGGGTCTCCTGCTTGAGCAGGGGGTTGGTCTGGAAGACCTCCAAGGTCCCTTCCAATTCTATTATTCTATATCTTGTATTCACTCCTTTCTGAAATTTTCTTTTAATGGCAAAAAGGTGTTCACATGCTCTGAATGGTATTTTCTCAGAGTGATATACTGTATTGTAGGCTAAGTAGTCATGAAGCATATCTATGACTTGGTCTGAGGAAGAACCTCTCAAAAAGGCCATGAAATTAGGGATGTATGAAAATCTTCCCACCCCCAAGCAGCTAGTAAAGACCTGAGACAGAATATTCCTTGTGGGCTGCTACCACCATGTTTTTCTGGTTGGCTAACTCTTGTGTGAATCACAATAAATCAGATCCCATTTTCCCCTTCACCAATTGGATGGAAATGCCTCCATAATTAATCATACATATGCTTTTTAAAAAACCATACATATAATACATATGCTTTAAAAAAAAAAAACACCCACCATCATGGAGCATTCACACCTGAAATCCACAATCTGAAATCTGGTCGTCCACAGTGCAACCACCGCCTTTACCATCTTCTTCCTTCCGGATGTGAAAGCCAGACCCGGGTACTGTAATTCCCCCCCCCCCAGTAAATTGCCAAAATAGATTTGGAAGATCTGGTACAACTCACCACAAACGCAACTCCAAAACTGTCCCCAAGCAGTGCGCAGAAGAGCAAAGAAAAGCAAAAGACATACCAAGAAATCCTCATCTAGAGAAAGGAAAGAAGAGGAGCAAAGAAAGGATGCTGCTTTCCAATCACATGACATTTCTTTGCTAATAAATTTTTCCTTTGTAGGAAAATAGGAATACAATTATCTTCTTTGGTTTTGCTATCATCTCTGATATTTAAAAGTTAGCAGGTTTTTTTGATTTTGATAAATAAACATGCAACAATTTATCTGAAATTATATTGCCACTATGCTTGATAATATATATGTAGAACAGGGATCCCCAACCCCTGGTCCATGGACCGGTACCGATCCGTGGCATGCCAGCAACTGGTCCGCACAAACAAGCAAAGTCTCATCCGTGGAATGCAGGCAGCACACAAAACCACGCACTCTCTGGTCTATGGAAAAACCTTTGTCTATGGAACCAGTCCCTGGTGCCCAAAAGGTTGGGGACCTCTGGCATACACTATGTTTTATTTAGTAAACTATGATTAAGCAAACTTTGGCTTAGTGTGCCATGTGAACTTTATAACAGAATAATATCTTTTTTTTTGTGCCTCTCGAGTCATTTACCATAGCTCTACAAGCATTCTGAATTATAGTTCTTATAACCTACAACCACATCAGATGCTAAAAGACATGGAAATTGCAGTTCCATTAAGGCCACCTTATCAAGTTGCCAAAACCCCAGATGATCACTAGATGGCAGCAGAGGATGTTTTCTGTGCCTATGCTGCTATTTAGCGATTGTCCAGATTTTTGCGTTTCAGAATGGGTTTTTTTTAGTTCCACACATATGGTGAATACTTCCTCAGGAAAATTGCTATTTTTATACTGATCTTATACTGTATGAATAAGCAGTCCAAACCTGGGTAAAACAATTTGCAAAACTGTTCTGCATAAAAAAGCAAGCGTTTTCTCGTCGTTGCGATGCTTGCACGATAATTAACTGAGGTTCAGATTTGTCTTCACTCCACGATCCAAGGTCCTATGAGTTTTGACCTCCAGTTCTTGAACATGCTCTGCACTTTTAGAATATTTCATCAAAATGTTTTGAGACTGTTTACATATCTGAAGGTACATGGTATGTATGCTTGGTAGATACAAGCATACGGACATTTAGCTAATAGGACTCTTGAGTCACTGAACAGCAGCACAACAGGTAGAAACTCTATAGATAAAAGACTTTTTTCAGTGCTCTTTTCTATCACATGCCCACCTTAAAAAACAGTTAGCAACCCTTCCATCTCCCACATAAATGCTTCTGCCAGGATTACCTTCATCCACCCACCCACCAAGACCCCCTGAGTCCTGAACCTCACAGATCAGAGGAATCATACCTTCATGTCTTTATGGAATTGCTTGAGCTCTGATTCCACAGGCAGGAAGAAACCCAAGTTTTATAGAGGGAAGAAACGTGGATTTGGGTGCGTCACTAATCCGCAGACAAAGCATATAAGGATGTCAGTATAATTGACAATAATGGCCCCACAAGGGGATACGTTGACTTTTTTTTAATGTTTATTCACATCCTGTGTCAGAAAATGGACAGAAAATTGGGGTAATTAGCCCTACTTGACTACTCAATTAATTGGAGGAGAGCCACTACAAGTAGAAGAAACATTCCATATTGTTTGTAAAGCAGGAGGAAAACAGAGTGCTTATTGGTTAATTCTCCTTTTGCTAACTTTATCTGGGAAAACATCAGTCTTGAACTGTTTCATATATTACCCATCCTCAGTGCCATAATTTCTCTGGTCAGTTTTTTGACATTTACATTTTTTAAAAAAATGTATTTATTCCTTTTTACAACAAAAATAAAAATACATTTTTTCTTAACAGTACTGTGTTATACATCTCATATATATTATTTACAATTTATTTACGTTAGTAATCATGTCTTTTTATTTCTCTGTTCTAGCCAATCATAACATTTGTTCCATATTTCATAGAATTCCGTTGCCTCCTTGTCTTTTAGTTCTAGCATAAGTTTATTCATTTCCGCGCATTCTAGAATTTTGTATATAATCATATCATTTGTAGGTATGTTTTCATCCTTCCAACACTGGGCATATACTATGCGGGCTGCTGTTAATATATGTACAATGATGTATTGGAGTTGTTTTTCCATCTTTAAATTTATTATACCCAAAAGAAATAGTTCAGGTTTGAGTTCAATTTACACCTTTGTTATCTCCTGTATCCAGTTCCTTATCCGGACGGACATTTACACTTTTAATGGCTCATTGGAGGCCTAATGCCTCTTTTTTGTACTATTTATTTATTGTTCATTTATGTGCCGCCCATCTTACTTTGAAAATAACTTTTTTCTCCTAATAACAATTAAGAAAACACTAATACTAATTCTCCTAAATAATCAACAGGCCAAAACTTTCAGCCATTTCCATTCCCTTGATATTGTCATCAGGTCCATGAGGCCCTTGGAAGGAGCTGAAAATACAGGTAGTCCTCCACTTACAACAGTTTGTTTAGTGACCATTCAAAGCTACAATGAGACCGAAAAAAGTTTTTCGCACTTGCCACCGTTGCAGCACCCCATGGTCATATGATCAAAATTCAGATGCTGGGCAACTGACTCATGTTTATGACAGCTGCAGTGTGTCCTGGGGTCATGTGACCACCATTTTGTGACCTTCTGACAAGCAAAGTCAATGGAGAAACCAGATTCATTTAACAACCATGTTACTAACTTAACAATGTGCAGGGATTCGCTTAACAAATGTGGCAAACGAGGTCGTAAAATGGGGCAAAATTCACTTCACACATGTCTCGTTTAGCAACAGAAATTTTGGGCTCAATAAGCCCTTGATTTCGTAGGTCAGGGAGGAGGATTGTGTATTAAAGCAGAGGTCTCCAACCTTTCCGGAGCTCAAGGACCGGAGGGAAGGAGAGCAGCTTTAAAATTGACGTATGTGCACGTGCGCACATGCATGGGGCCACACACACTGGCATGGCACTAGCAGCCCCATTTGCGCATGTTGCATGCGCTGGTATCATGCGCATGTGCAAATGGCCACACACACCCCACGGTGGCTAGCAGCCCATTCATGCATGCTCAAATGGGCCGTGCAAGACGCCTGGGCTAGCGGCACATGCACAAACCAGCTGTGGAGACCTGCCCTGCACTAGCATTCCCATTCGCACCCGCATACATGTGCAAACAGGGCCGCAGGCACTAGCATGAGTGGGGAGGGAAATGCATGCCCACATGTATGCACACCGGCCAGCAGTTTCCGCAGCCTGCTGGCCAAGAGCACAGGACCCAGTTCTGAGCTGCGGACCATAGGTTGGGGACCCCTGTATTAAAGCATAACATCCCTGAAATCCAAATGGGATTTTACTCATTTATATTTTACTTACTTTGTACCTTGTTTGTTATTCAGTTACTAAGTTGTGTCCAACTCTTCGGGACCCCATGGACCATAGCAAGCCAAACCCTCCTGTCCTCCACTGTCTCCACAGTCTGCCCAACTTTAGGCCTACTGCGTCAATGACCCTCTCTAACCACTATCATTTTCTGCCGCCTCCTTCTCCTTTTGGCTTCCATCTTTCCCAGCATCAGGTTCTTCTCCGATGAGTCATCTCTTCTCATCCAGTGGCCAAAGTATTTGAGTATTTTACAAATGTATATTTTGCATATTTTGCTCGTTTTGTAAAATGGGGATTGATTTTTACAAATGCATTAAAATGAGGAGATTTTATGAAACATGTAGTACAGTCAATCTTCAAATTACGACCACAACTGAGCCCCAAATTTCTGTTGTTAAGCAAGAGAGCTGCTCAGTGAATTTTGTCCCATTTTACGATCTTTCTTGTCACCGTTGTAAAGGAATCACTGTAGTTGTTAAGTTAGTAACACGGTTGCTAAGTGAAACTGGCTTCCCCATTGATTTTGCTTGTGAGAAGGTTGCTAAGGGTGATCACATGACTCTGGGACACTGCAACCATCATAAGTACATGCCAGTTGCCAAGTGTCCAAATTTTAATCACATGGACACAGGGATGCTGCAATAGTCATAAGAGTGAAAAGGGTCATAAGTCACTTTTTTCAGTGTCATTGTAACTACAAATGGTCACTAAATGAACTGTTGTAAATCGAGGCCCAAAATCACCTGAGAGCTTCTATGAATAAAAGTGGATTTGAATCTGGATCTCCTCATTCCTAATCCAACACTGCTAGGACCCATTTTGGAAATAAAGAGCAATTGGCTCTTTTATATGACAGCTTTCCGTTAAATTTGCTTATACTGTAATCTAAAGAAGGTAGGGGGCAATCATCAGAACTTTGAATTTGGGTTGTAAGTGCCTTTGGGGAGGCAGTCATAACTTTGAACAGTTGAATAGAATAGAATAACAGAGCTGGAAGGGACCTTGGAGACCTTCTACTCCAATGGCTGTCCAGTCTCTTCTTAAAAACTTCCAGCGTTGGAGCATTCACAATGTCTGGAGGCAGGTTGTTCCATTGATTAATTTTTTTTACTGTCAAGAAATTTCTCCTTAGTTCTAGGTTGCTTCTCTCCTTGATTAGTTTCCATCCGTTGCTTCTTATCCTGCCTTCAGGCGCTTTGGAGAATAGCTTGACTCCCTCTTCTTTGTGGCAGCCCCTGAGATATTGGAACACAGCTATCATGTCATCCCTTTTCATTAAACTAGACATACCTAATTCCAGCAACCGTTCTTTATATGTTTTAGTCTCCAGTCCCTTGATCATCTTTGTTGCTCTTCTCTGCACTCTTTCGAGAAACTCAACATCTTTTTTACATATCTGTCTTTGTCTATCAAAAAGACAAATAAAAAATAATTTGAGGCTTATTTTAGATACACTGGAATACTATGAAATGCATTCAGAAAAACAAACGGCTTTAATTTTCCTAGAGTCTACACGCTCATTTGATAATGTAAATTGGCAATTTATGATACAACAATTAAACTGTATGGATTTTGGAGAAAAGTTTATCAAAACTATTAAGACAATATATGATAAACAAACAACAAAAATAATTGTCAATGGAGACTATACATAGAACTTTAATATAAAGAAAGGTACAAGACAAGGATGCCCACTGTCCCCATTGTTATTCATACTAACGTTGGAAGTTCTCAATAGGAACATCAGACAAGATTCAGAAATTAAAGGAATGGAAATAAAAGACGAAAGTTATAAACTACAAGCATTTGCAGACAACTTAGTATCTATTGTAGAAGAACCTTTGGCTACAACGTCCAAATTATTAAAGATAGAAGAATTTGGAGAAATAGCAGGATTGAAAATAAATAGAGAAAAAAACCAAAGTTATAGTTAAAAAACTTACAGACAAGCAAAAAACACAACTGTCAGAAAAAAATAGACTTACAAATAGTTAAGAAAATGAAATATTTCGGAATATATTTAACAGCAAGATGTGCAATGATAAAAGAAGATAACTTAAGGTGACCAACTTTTTTACAACAAAAAGGAGGACACGAATAAATTTAAGAAAAAAATATCGTAAATAAAAGAAACATTGTATTTATTGCAACAATAATACAGAATACACTATAATATGATAAATGCATAATAAAAAACATTTGTAACAATAACATTTTATATTGTAATTATGCTTACATGCCTATTAATTATTTAAATGAGTACTTTTCCATTGAATGAATATTTTTTGTCAATGTATCATCTTCTAACAATATATTGGAAATATCTGAACAAGAAATATCCTTCATATTGAATTTTATGGCAAGTGCTGCAGCTAGAGTATCAATATTCAATCTCGATTTTTCACTTGTCCAAAAATCTACATGGCTGGACTGTGCGGGGGTGGGCAGCGGAGGCAGGTGTTATGAGCCAGGCGCTCCAGGATGGCCATGTAGATGCGCAGGGTGAGGTGGTGGCAGCGCAGCTCAGCACTGCGTAGACCACCAGCTGGCACAGCCCATGGAAGGTCAACTGCCCGCCGCGCCCCCACCCACAGCCGCCCCGCCAGCACTGCTGCCCTGCTGTGGAGAGCCAGCCCTATGGCTCGCAAAGCACCAGCCGCGCCAGCTCTGGCCCTGCAGCCGCCCCCCAGCACCACCATCCACCCTGTGCATCCCGGTAGAGCCAGCCCCGCGGCTTGCAAAGCACCAGCCGCACCGGCTCTGGCCCTGCAGCCGCCCCCCCCCAGCCACCCCCCAGCACCACCGCCCCCCCAGTCGCTCCCAGCACCACCGCCCCCCCGCCCATTCCCGTAGAGCTGGCCCAGCGGCTTGCAAAGCACCAGCCGCGCCGGCTCTGGTCCTGCAGCCACCCCCCCCAGCCGCCCCCCAGCACCACCGCCTACCCTGTGTATCCCCACGTAGAACCGAACAGGGAAGATCAAGTGAAACTTACCGCTCCAATCTCCTCCAGCTATCTTTGAAACTAAGAAGTAG